TTTTTTGAATACTGAAAATGCAAAGTTCTTAACAACGAGAATTAGGAGGACACTTATATTTATAAAGAAAAATATTCCTTATTTTCTCCGATGTGATACTTGAATTGTACCTCAACAATCATCCGCTCAAGTCAAGAACGAAAAGTATTGTGACCTCCTCTCCACGATAAAATCCATTTGATCCGCCCTGATCATGAGATCACAAAATGAGGTCCACAGAACTGCCAAATGCCATCCCACCACCCTGAATTCGAACTCTAATATTGCAACGTTGTTGAAACCAAAAGCTCCACTAAACTTATTACAGCTATAAACCTGAAAATCTAAAGAAACTCTTAACCGCGTGAGTATGGAATTAGTACCAACAAATATAGAAGGACCCCTCTCGTTACCAACTCCAAAAAGAGTGTATTGACAAATCAATCAAATTTAACCTATAACGACAAACATATTGGAGCACTAGCCATGTCTTGGCAAATCAAATCCAAATTTTGACATAATAACGACACCTTATTGCCCTTTCACCATCTACTCTATAGTGACAAAATCGACACCCAAACCGCGTAAAAGAAGAGAAGTTCCCCACGTACGTCGAGGTTTTGCTTTCTCCCTTCTTTTTCTCCACAGTTCTTTGTTATAAAACCATCTCTCGAGACGTTAATTGTGGGCCTTAAGCTATAGTCTTCATTGCTTTTTGGACTATCCTTTCGACCAAATTAAGATTAAACAATCAAAACCCAACTGCCGCAGGGACATCCAGTAGTGGATAAAATAGACTACTTCACTGTTGTCCAATTATTTTCGCCGCCCATGCATTTTGACTCAGAAGAAGAAAGAGCTTCGATCATCAGTCTGCCCATTTGCCCTGATTATGGGGCAGAGATGGAGAAACCTTCTCATAGAAGTATTTGGTGTCGGTTTTTATCAGTTACACCATTTTTGATTTGACCACTTCCCTTGGGGAAAGTTTCATCCACAGTCGTCGTCTGCTTGCGGGTTTTGAAGTTAGCTGGATTTGACTGCAAAGTTAGATGGAGCCACCAACAGAATAAATGTAGGTGGATGAGGCTTGTTTCGACGTTGGTCGTGGCTTAATTAGGATATGGAGGGTATACCCTACATGTCCATACCATGAAGTCATGTAGAATGGATTATTAACATCACAATTTTTTTTTTTTTTGTATTCATTCGCAATAATAAATGGTAGTTAATTGATGGGCTACCATCCAGGTCGATTTTGCGTCGCAAGGCGTCTGTGAGAACGTGTGCTCAAAGACCTTTTTGTAAGTCGGGTTGCAATGCATCCATGTGGATTACCATTCTTCTCCAAATACAATGGTAAGAAAATCATTTCTCATATGGGAAATTTTTACGGTTATATAGGTTAGGGTATATTGAAAGTCGTCAAATATATATTTAGCACGAAACATTTTGACAAGTATAAAGTGTGAGATGCCGCGGTTTGCAGAAAACACATTTTCAATTCTCAAAGTTCTGTTATAGTTTGGTGATAAAATGAAACGATGCAATCATTCAAATCGATCATCGTGAATCTTGCATATGGAAATCGAGCTTGCCAATGGAGAAAAAAATGAAGGGAAAAAAAATCCATTTATAGAAATATTATTCTAAGAAATTATTCTACACAAATTACACTTGAAGAGTGGGACATGGATATTTTCTCCTCTTCAACTTGCATGGTGGAATACATTTGTAATCGTCAATCAAGCATTGATCCAACGGTCAATACATCTTGAAGTCAAACACAAATTTCAGGCAATTTGCCGACATCTATGCATTAAAGATTGGGAATCCCCCGACGTGCAAGTAAAAAAACACATAATAATAGAATAACTTGAGCGGACACATAATAATATTCTGATTTTCTTCATGAAGTGAAGCGAGTAAACTATATAGGAATAGGCGACTAGATACTCAATCAAATTACTTAATATAGTTGTTCATCGAAAAGTTAGTCTCCCTAGTTATAATATAACTATATAAGGTTGCTCTATACTTTGATGAGATTACCGATTATAGAGGAGTATGAAAAGTATATATAGTACTTCTCTATATGGCCTAATCATAATCCAATTTGATAAAGAATAAGGTTACAGACGGCTCAAGTTAGGGTGCATAACCATGGGTTATGCACCCATCAATAACCAAATCTGGACCCTTCATTTAGAAAATTCAGATCTAAAGATGGAGAATTAAAGCCCATTTTTATTTTCACTAGCTTTCTTAATTGACTCATATCTTTTTCGTTTTAACTCGGATTTTAGTTTTTTTTGCACAGATGGAGCGAGTTCATCGTGCTCTACAAGATGAGATCAATTTTCAATATTTTTTTAGGAAAAAAAAATTTTGGCCTCTCGGTACCAACTGTATACCATATGGTATCTTCTTCGTTTTTAATTCATTTTTGAAAACGTTTGCACAGCAGGGACGAGTTCATCATGATCTATTGGATCTACAAATTTCTGGGTGAACAAATTACAAGACAAAAAAAACCACACAATACTAGGGGTGGCTATACGGTCCGGTCCGGTTAAATTGGCCCAAATTGATCCGGTCCAGTCCGGTTTTTTTGAGAATATAAGGACCGAAGATTGGATTGGATACAGTCCGGTCTTGATCCGGTCCGGTCCCAATTCGGTCTTGATTTTATATTGAGATTGTGGGAATTTGAGTGGCCTAAGGCCTAAAAGGGTGAGGAGTTGGTTAAGTTTTGTACTAAGTGTAAAGGTTTGTGACCGTTTATGCAAATTACCCTTAAATTTTGGGTGTTTAGCTCTCTTATCCGGTCTTTATCCGGTTTTTTAACTCAATTCTAAGCCCAAAGATTGGATTGGATTGTTTACTATCCGGTCCCGGTTCGGTCTTGGTCCGGGTTATATGGTCCGGTTTCCGGTTTTTCATCCGGTCCCGGTCCAAATAGCCAGCCCTACACAATACCATACAATACCACCCTGGTACGGGGTGGTATCTTATGGTATCTTATGGTATACAATGTTAAAAGTCGTAAATGACAATTAATATACTTCTACTATCATGTATTCAACCATCCTACAGTTTTGGTTTGTGTCATACCACCATGGTACGCTTTTCAAACCATATGTATGCTCTTATTTCAATACCAGTCAATACCATATGGTATAGACTGGTATAAAATGGCTCGATTTTTTTTGTTCGAAAAATATATCAAAGTGGATATCATTTTGAAGAGCACAATTAATCTGATCTAACTGTGAAAAAAAATTAAATTTCGACTTAAAACGAGTGAGAAATCGTCCGTCAAAGATTAAGGAGGGGAAAATTAAAGACTATCTAGGAGAGAGAGGATGCTGATGTCATGCTGATGTGTGCGGGTTACTCATAGTTACTCACCATAAGGTTACTCACCTGATCCATTCCCGTTACAGACCATACATAAAATAGAAACCCAAACATGTCCATAAGCTGGTGACTTTACTGGACGATAGATAATCTAGTTCAAGTCATATCAACAATATCTGTCCAGCTACGAGGAAGAGAGCTTGAGTAAAAATAATTTACAATTCTTTAACACCGGTTAGATTAGCAATTGATTCAGTAGGGTTGACCAAATTTACCTCCCCTCTTTTGCACTTCTGGTTGATGTTTGACTTTGATTAATGCTATAATAATATAAGAGCCTGGGCCACGTTGCTTCAAATTAATAAAATATATGAATTTACTAGATTGCTTACCTGCTACTGCTAGTCAACAACTAGTAAGCGTTCTTACTTCCTAGTTAGTTGAGAATTACGTAAAACAGGATGTTAATTACACAACTACTTCATTAGTACTGAAAAGGGAAGAAAGTTTATAGCACATACCAAGACTAATCGAGTTCTTTATCTATATAACGAAAGCTGATCCAAAATACTCAGCCAAGCTTAAGTATACACTAATCACTAATTGGGTGACATGTACTTGTTTCGTGGCGTGAAGCAAGCTCTATATGATATGGTTAATGGTTTGGTTGCATCCGCAAATTACTTTGAGAAACGATTAGTTATGGTTATAATATATGCTTATTTCAGAATTCATAGGTGATGTGGGGTTGGGCCTACTTGGGCAGGTAGGCCGAACTGGTCGGGTTTCGGTTCCAAATCTTGTCGGTTCGATTGATCTATTTTATGTTTGGGATAATCAAACTAGCTCAACCCGAGCTCAGACTCACGAGCTCTACTTTAACTTGGCTCATCAGTTCGCTCGAATAATCAAATCAAAATAAGGTATCAATTGTTTAGTTCATAAATTTTAAGTTCTCATATAATGTTATTTATTACTAATTAGTATGTAAGCAATCTACGAAATTTCTCTTTTAGATTATGAATGAGACATATTTGTTGATGAAGTCAAAGTCTTAAACAAATATTGTGGTGAGATATATACTATGACATACTATTAAATTATTAACAAGCCAACCCATAAGCTATAAATCGGTTCGCTCATAAGTCGCTGGTCAAGGTGGCTCCCCAACGTCGAGCTAACTCATAACTCAAAATGAGCTAGTTCGTGAGTTGAGCTCAACAAACCACCAATTCAAGCTAGCTTGCTAGCTTTGCGAGCTAAACAAGTCTTCATTCACTCTCAACTCATTTGTACAAGCCAAGTATCGTACGATTTTTCCCCAAATCAAATTGAACGACGAGCCACTCAAAAGCTTGGCTCATTTACAATCATAGTAAGACTCAATAAAGAAATTTTATATAATTCTCTCATCATTATAATATAACTAGCACCCTAAACAATCTAGCTTGATTCAATATCATCCTTGTTTTGGCTTTTGTAAAGGCTCAATAGCTCATTAGCTATAAACAAATATGTAAACCCCATCTCATCTAAATACTCTCCACTCTCATGTCATCCTCAAACCAATCTTTGTCATTTTCTAATTAGCCCCCTCCAACCCAACACAAAAACATAATCAAACTTTTTTTTGACTAAGATTTTATTTAATTAAAATATTCCCTCCACAAAAAATTAAAATAAAAACACCAACAAAATTACAATATATTTGCATGAAACCGTCCACGTGCCTTCACCCATCCTCTGGCCTTTTCTTAAAACCTAAGAATTTCAAGCACAAGCCACCACACCCACCACTTCCCCCTTCCCTTCCTCTGGCAATTTCCCCCAAATTCCTTGATTCCCAGCAGAACCCATAAATCCAAATCCCTCAATTGGTGTTTTAGAATCCAAAAGATTAATCCTTTTAAAAAGGGTACGAGGAAGGAAGAAGGAAACTGAATTAATAAGATTCAGAGGCAGAATAAGGCGAGAGAGAAGAAGAAGGCAAAATAGAAGAGAGATTCGGCGACTTTCCTGAACCAGAAGCTCTCTCGTTTGTGGGGAAGAAAAGAAAAAGGCGAAGCTGCACCGACTCGGCGCTCTTCAACTCAGCTGGACCCAACTCACTCTCTTATCTTCCTTCCCACTTGGGGTAACTTATCCTTTTTTCCATCTCCTTGGTTTTCTAAACTCGCTGTATTGAGCTCGAAGTCCTCGCATTTCCAGTACCTCGTCGAGAATTCTTTAATGGGGTTTCGATGGTGTTTGTCCAACTGTTTATGAATGTATCGGGCGGCGCACAACCTCCCTCGATTAGCAAAACCCTAGGTTTCTGATTCGTTCCCCTCATTGGGCCTTTTCCTCCATTTGTTTGACTGGGTTGTGTGCATAAGAGCCTTTCTCCATGGCATTTGATCACAACTTGGTTTCAAAAGATCTGAGGCCGGTGAACGTTGCTCGGCCATTGATCGACGATACCCGCATTGGGGTAGTCGGGGGAATGACGAACACCGCGCCTAATTCAGCTACGGCGGGAGCGACGGTTATGAGCCCTGAATTTTTCACCGCCGCACCGGAGGGGACTATTCCGATTTACTACCAGGCATCAGCGGTGCCGGATTCTGGAGGGTTTGTTGGCGTAGGGTATAGGAATGTGGCACCGGCGGCCGTTGCACAGTGGGTCCCGGTGGCAGCAGCTGGTAATGTAAATATTGGTGTGACTGCTCCAGCTGCTGTAGGGTACGGTTATAATCCTAATAATTTGGGGAATAGGGTAGTGGGTAATGCTGTTGATCAAGCTAGTACTGAAATGTTGGTAGGTGGATTCGGTTATAATCCTCGTACCAGCCCCAATTCGAACAACGATTTGTTGAACTCGGGTTATGGTTACAGCCCGAGTGCATCCAATCGGGGGAGTGGTGGTGGTGGTGGGGTTGATCACACGAGTGAAGATGGTGGTGATGATTCGGTGTCTGGGAAGAAAGTCAAGCTCTTGTGTAGTTTTGGAGGGAAGATTCTGCCTAGACCGAGCGATGGTGCATTGAGATATGTCGGAGGGCAGACGAGGATCATCAGTATGAGAAAAGAAATGACATTTGGTGAGCTGATGCAGAAGATGGTGGCCACATACGGGCAACCGGTTGTTATGAAGTACCAGCTTCCAGAGGAGGATTTAGATGCATTGGTTTCAGTCTCATGCCCTGAAGATCTCGATAACATGTTGGATGAGTATGAGAAGTTGTTGGAAAGATCCTCAGATGGCTCTGGTAAATTGAGGGTGTTCTTGTTTTCAGCTACCGAGCTTGATGCTTCTGGTATGGTGCAGTTAGGAGATATGCAGGATAATGGACAAAGATATGTTGATGCAGTTAATGGGATTGTTGCTGACAATGGTGGTGGTGGGATGATCTCAAGGAAGGAGAGTATGGCTAGTGCTACCTCGACTCAGAATTCGGATGTTAGCGGAGCTGAAGCAGTTGACATATCAGGATTTGGACAAGGGGAACTGAGTGGGACTCCATCAGTCAGCGGGCTTTCTCCTATGGGGAATTCAGTTACCTCCCAAGATACTACCCCGAGATTGTTGTCTGTGGATCCTAGTCCTAACCCACCACTTTATGCTGACACATCATCAGTTTCTTTGGGGATTCCACTGATGAAGTCTGGTTCTCCTCCTGCTTTAATTTCCCAGCACGAGGTTGATTTTGAAAGGTCAGCTGCTCCGGTAAACATGTCACAGCAGCAGATGGGATACGAGCTACCTCAAACAGGAATGCCATTTCAATCAAATGCACCTCATCTTCCAGCATATAGGGACTATGTACATGCAGCTCCTCAAATGGGATACCCGAATGCGCAAATGTTTGCCACTGCTGGCGGGTCCCTGTTCACTCAACAACCGAATCATGATGTTAATGCTTCTCTGAGTTCTCATCAGTATATGCCTGGAGTGCACATGACGATGGCACCCTCATCGTCTCTTGCTCCCATGAGGCCTACAATGGTTCAAACTGTGATGCAGGCTCAACCAACTCGATTGGACCATTATCCGGATGAAAAGATGTATGGAACAAGGATAATGCAGATGCCGGTCGATCCGAGCTACAACATGTATCAGGCACAGGCTCCACAGCCGGCAATTCTTGGGGGAGGGTATGGCTGGAGACAGGTTCCTCAACCGGAACATGTCGTCTTTTCTGATGGCATGATTCATCATCAACAAGTACAATATCCTGAAAAAACTTCAAGACCGGATGATTGTCTGATGTGCCAGAAAGCATTGCCTCATGCACACTCTGATCCTGTTGTACAGGAACAAAGTCCTCTATCTATAGACTCTGTCTATCATAGTCTTCGTTTGGAAGAAAGTTCGAAGATTCGGCCTTTGAACAGGGTAATGGTGACTGGGGCGTCAGGGGAAGGTACTGTTGGAGCTCAATCAGAAGCAATGGATTTACCTCAGTGTGCTGAGGCATTTCATGAAGCCGAGAAAATTTCCCCCAGGAAAAAGGAAGCTCCTCCAGAGCAACCTAAGATGTCGGCTCCTCTTGGTATGATGGGTATACAAGGTGATGCTCAGTCTACTTATGGGTTGTTAATGAGTACTATCCCTCCATCTCGGGTAGATGATTCTCTTCAACAGCAGCATGCAGTGGCAGTACCTCATGTAGCTGTTGGTGGACCACCTCCTCAAGCTTCCGAAGGCGTGATATATGAGTCTCCTAGAGCACCACATGTTGGTAACCTTCCTCATGTTGGTTCAAAAGAGAATATGGTTGACTCTTTTGTTCCACATGACCAGCTGAAACCAATTGACGGCAACAAGTCAGCTACCGATCAGAAAGCCCAGCAAGTATTACCTTCAAGGGAGTTGCTTCCAGACTCGAATTATCTCAAATCGGAAGTTCTGCCTGCTGCTGAATTCTCATATCTACACAGCTCTCAGCCTATTGAGCCATATGATGTTGCTCAGCCGCTATATTCGGGTGATCCGGGAGCACATCTGCACTCCATGGTTGGTGCTCTCTTGGATTCTGGTGATGTCAGTTGTGTCAATCCACAATATGTTGTTGAGCCCGTGTATCATGCTGATAAAGTCCTTCCTGTTGGCGAGAGCAATTCTGATATATCCAGGCTACTACCTAGTACTCTTGCCAGTGATGTGGAATCTTTAGCACTGAGTGGGAATCCACCATCTTCAGTATCGCCGTCTAGTAGACTTGGAGATGTGCAGGAATCCTCAGACTCTCTTTTCAGCATCCAGGATCCTTGGAACATGAGGCATGATACTCATTTCCCTCCTCCTAAACCTCTCAAGATTGCAACTAGGAAGGATGCTTTCAGTGCTGGAGATCCATTCAAGGAAAACAACATTGGTAACGCCGGGGAATTGGGTCCAGATGTGCTGTTGGATGATGGAATTTCTCAGACACTATGTGGTTCGGAGCATACTCTATCTTCCAAAGGTTGAAATTTTCTTTAGCTTGCATGTTTGTGAGTTAAGAAAACAACCTCTTTTTGTTCTGATATTTTTTTATAACCATTATACACAGGCTCGGAGGATAGGCTTATCAAACAAGAACTTCAGGCTGTTGCTGAAGGAGTAGCTGCCTCTGTTTTTAAGTCGAGTACACCAAGTACCGACTTGACAGATGAAAGAAATCCATCTCCTTTCGAAGCAAGTGAACAACCGAAGGAGGCTGCCCCGATTAAAGACGTGGAAGCACAGCATAAAGCTAAAGCTGAGGTGGAGCTTTGTTAATTCAGATCTGTTTTGTTACCTTGTTTCTGGTATGGTGCATTTATATTCGCATTATTGCTGAAAAATCTTATACCTTATTCATCAGGATCTGAAGAACAGACAGGCGGAAAAGGTGAACGTGGGATTTCCAATGTCAGAAGGTGCAGGTCGCCTACAGGTTGGACTTTTGTTATGCAACATTCTTTTTCCCATTTATCTTTGACTTTTCTTACAAATATTTGGTTCAAACTGTCATTTTTGGGAACAGATTATAAAGAGTGGTGACCTTGAAGAACTATTTGAATTGGGCTCTGGCACCTTTGGCACGGTTTACCATGGAAAGTGGCGGGGTACGGATGTTGCAATTAAGCGGATCAATGACAGGTGTTTTGCAGGGAAACCTTCGGAACAAGAACGCATGGTTAGTCATTTATCTTGCTATAAGATAATCAGATGTTTTTCCATGTTATTCGACCTATTAATTCCTCAAAACTGCTATTCATTTTTTCGTGTATGCATAAAATCAGATTGACGATTTTTGGAATGAAGCTATCAAGCTTGCTGATCTGCACCATCCAAATGTGGTAGCTTTTTATGGGGTTGTACTAGATGGCCCTGGAGGTTCAGTTGCAACTGTGACTGAGTATATGGTTAATGGCTCTTTGCGGACTGCTTTGCAGAAAAGCGAGAGGTATTTTTCTTAAACCTCGACATTGACCATGTAATGCTTTCATTCTTTTGATCTCTGTTTCATGGAAATTTGATTTTGGAGTGCTTGTTTATTAGGAGCCTTGACAAACGTAAGCGCCTCTTGATCGCCATGGATGTGGCTTTTGGTATGGAATATCTGCATGGGAAAAATATAGTGCATTTTGACCTAAAGAGTGACAATCTGCTAGTTAATCTTAGAGATCCGCATCGTCCGATATGCAAGGTTAGTTGTCTTATTTTTTTAATGTTCGGCCTGTGTATACTAGTTTTGCCTTATCCCCGTTATCCGTGTACCTACCTTTGTAATTTATTGTGATCAATATATACTTGTATGGTTAAACTTAAAAGGTTGTTTGGTTACTGTATTACAGAATACATGTCGTTTCACACCGCATGAATTCCGAATGCATGATTTATGAAATGCATGTATTGTCATAATTAGTGTTTGGTTTGAGATAATTGTAAAAGAAATTACTTGTGTAGCCCATCGAACGTATGTATTCTTGAAAGCTCTGGGTTACCAAAGAACACTTGGGTCCTGAAATGCATGGATTTTGTACCAAACCCAGACAATGAAACTACGTATTGTTAGAAACCATGCATTCTCAAAATGAGTGGAACAATACATGGGTACCTAGAAGGCAATTAGTTGTATTGCTTCTCATTTTAGACTTACTTTATGTTGCGTCTCCAGGTTGGCGATCTGGGCTTGTCGAAAGTAAAGTGTCAAACGCTAATCTCGGGTGGTGTAAGGGGAACACTTCCATGGATGGCACCCGAGCTTTTGAATGGCAGCAGCAGCCTTGTCTCCGAGAAGGTTTCTCTTTTTCTCTTATGAACATCTCACATTAGAAGAACCCATTAGAGATAGATGATCCAGTTTGTCAGATTGTTAAAACTGTCCACTTGTTCTTTCATATAGGTTGATGTATTCTCATTCGGCATCGTGTTGTGGGAGCTTCTGACTGGGGAAGAGCCATATGCAGATTTACACTATGGCGCCATCATAGGTAACATCTAGTCGACCGACTGACTGACGCCATCATGGCATCACACTTTTGGTGGTAACAAATGATATGACATATGAGATTGAACACTTTGTGACAGGTGGCATTGTCAGCAACACCCTGAGGCCGCCAGTACCGGACTCTTGTGATCCGGAATGGAAAGCATTGATGGAGAGATGCTGGTCCTCAGAACCAGTCGAGAGGCCGAGCTTTACCGAGATAGCAAATGAGTTGAGAGCAATGGCAGCCAAGATACCTTCCAGGGGGCAGGCTCCAGCGCAGCAAGGTTCTTGAGCACAACCTCAAAAGTGAGTCTCCTGGCGAGTTGATTCTTCCCTCGTGGCTCAATAGAGGTAATTTGCTGCAGTCAATATGGGTTATTTGTAGGAAGGTTCATTTGGCCTTTGTTTTTTACTTCATCAGGTTTTTTTACTTTAGTAGAGATGATTATAGTTGCTAGACTCCTATTGAGAGTGTCTAGGGTTTTGGGTTTGAGTTTCAATGTGTTTGTTCTTGTGTGCAAAAAGGGTCAAAGAAAAAGAAGAAAATTTGTTTTTTGTACGTAGGAACTGTTTGTCTCTTTGACAATCTTGTTATATAGATTATATTTGGTGTAAGATTGGAAGAAAATGAGCTTTACTACCCATATTTCTTTTCCTGGATCATAGTTCCTATCCTTTCCCAGGAAAGAGTAAAGCTTAACTTACCTGTAGTTCTGCCTCTACCCATGAGTTGGATTCTGTTCTTGATACAAAGAGGATCACTGCTCATGCTTCCGTAAACCTGAATTCATCTGATCAACATACTTCCATGATGGTAGAAGTTAGGTCAGAACCCATAACCCATTTGCAGAAAAATGGAGTCAAATCCAGGAAAGGAAGCAACTTTGTTCACACACAAACCACCCAAAGAATCTTTTGAACTTCAGTTCTTCAGTAACTGACTCTGTTTGGCCGTCGCCTGCCGCCGCTGCCGCTTTATACGTAGTCATTTCATAGCCCTTGTCTCTTCCCTATCTAAGATCTAACCGGCGGCCGCTTTCGTTGATCACGTGAACTGATGAAAGCTGCAATGAAGATTATGTCGGCAGGATCTTTTTTTCCTGCGGATAAGACTTAATGGGTAGATTTGGACTGTAGAAAGAAGAAGTCTTTTTGGGTCGTATTTGCTTTGATATCAAGCACAACAAGAAGAGTTGGAATAGTCGTCAGTCGCGCGTATGACAAAACTGACTCGTTTTACAAAGCCCGCGTAAACAAAGCGCACAAGGCACACACAACTTCGCAGCAAGGGCCAAGGAGCCGGCAAGGTGGAAGAATCAGTGTTTCTATTGCAACGCCAACTAATAACATTAACTCGAGTCGTCTTCATTTCATTTTAATAATCGAACTTATCATTTTTTTTACCGATATTTAGCATAATGGTCACTCATTGTGAAAGAAAAGATATTTAGTTTCGTAACACTAAGAAAAAAAGATCGGGAAGAAACTAAACATGCATATACGAAATGTGTATCCTAATATTTATACTTGTAGAACGCCGTTCGTATACCAAATTGGGTGATAATCGTTTGGAGTATGATTTGAGCTAGATAAGTTCAAAAGTTGTGATATGAAGAAAACAAGCGGCAAATGTAGGCTCATTCTATGTTTGATGATCAATCAAAGACGCAACGAGAATGTGAGTCAAGCTCCGATTGGTACAATGCTACGGAACAAGTCGAGGCATATCGAAGCGATAGTATCATGTACCTAACATACACATCGCCACGTCGGTAAAATTCGATATCTAATGTGGCAGACCGCGATGATGTGACACTTGGGTCAGACCCATTAAACCCCTTTCATATACAACTAAACCTGGAAAAAATCCAAAAGTACCACTGTTTAAAAAAATATTCCAAAAATACCACCTAACCCCAAAAAATTCCAAAAATATCACCATTTTTCAAAAACCGCCACCCCACCCAGCGGTTTGGTCGAAAACCACTTGTCGGGGGCGCGGTTTTGGACCAAACCGCGGGCCTAGGGGGCGGTTATAAAAAAAAAATTTGGACCAAACCGCTGGGTGGGTGGCGGTTTGGCCCAAAACCGCACCCCAACCAGCGGTTTGGTCCAAATTTTTTTTCTTTTTTTTCGACCAACTCCTAACTTCGGTCGAAACTTCAAACGAACGTAACTTTGCACTCGGGTATCTGATCGTAGCGATGTTTTTTTTCATTTCGCATAACTTTTCAAGATCTACAACTTTTACTAGGATGAAATTTTCAAAAAAGGAACTATTTGTGGATATACGGGACATTGAGAATAACTTTACCTTTACTTTTCAGAAATCCATGTACATTTTGAAATTATGATTATATTAAAAGTTGTAGATCTTGAAAAGTTATGCGGAATCAAGAAAAAGTTCATGACATTCGGAGTTTGGAGCACAAAGTTATGGCCGCCCAAAGTTTGACGAAATAAAAAAAAAAGGTTCATGGTGGCAAATGACGTTTTTTCGAGACGAAGACGGAACCCGACTGTTTGAGACTTGCAAGATCTCAAAAAGTTATTCGGATTCAAAAAATGGAGGCCGCAAACTTTTTGAGATCTTGCAAGCCACAAACCGCCGGGTCTCGCCTTTCGTCAAACTTTGGGCGGCCATAACTTTGTGCTCCAAACTCCGAATGTTATGAACTTTTTTTTGATTCCGCATAACTTTTCAAGATCTACAACTTTTAATATAATCATAATTTCAAAATGTACATGGACTTCTGAAAAGTAAAGGTAAAGTTATTCTCAAGGTCCCGTATATCCACAAATAGTTTCTGTTTTGAAAATTTCATCCTAGTAAAAGTTGTAGATCTTGAAAAGTTATGCGAAATGAAAAAAACATCGCTACGATCGGATACCCGAGTGCAAAGTTACGTTCGTTAGAAGTTTCGACCGAAGTTAGGAGTTGGTCGGAAAAAAAAAAATCGGACCAAACCGCTGGTTGGGGTGGCGGTTTTGGGCCAAACCGCCACCCCACCCAGCGGTTTGGTCCAATTTTTTTTTTATAACCGCCCCCTATGCCCGCGGTTTGGTCCAAAACCGCGCCCCCGACAAGCGGTTTTCGACCAAACCGCTGGGTGGGGTGGCGGTTTTTGAGAAAGGGTGGTATTTTTGGAATTTTTTGGGGTTGGATGGTATTTTTGGAATTTTTTTTTTAAACAGTGGTACTTTTGGAATTTTTCCACTAAACCTCACCAAACGAAACAGGAAACCACAGTGGGGAAGCAAAATTAGTCAGACTTCTCTGAAGCTTCCTTCCTTCCTAGTACCTTCCCCCACCCATTTGCTTGTCAAAATTTCCTTTTCCCCAACGCTGAATTTCAACGTTTATATATAACCAAGCTCTCTCTTCCCTTCTTCATCGGTCATCCCTGTCCAATCTCAAGCTCCCGCCCCTTAAATCTCCCGCCGCCAAATGGAAACAGAGCGTCTCCGCCCAGCAGCCGCCGCCGCCGGCAGCTACCAAGACCAAGAAGAAGAAAACTCCTCAGCCTTCTCAGGATGCAACTGCTTCGGCTCCTTGTTCTCGAGATGGGGAACCAAATCCGCCAGCAGCGAAAGCAACAGCTACCTTCTGATGCAAAACAGGGGAGGAGGGAAAACAGGGGAAGACGAAAACCAGCAGCAGAAAACAGAGCCCTCGTCGTGGGTCATGAACCAGATGAAGAAACTAAAGGAGGTTTCGGAGATGGTCGCCGGGCCCAAGTGGAAGAACTTCATTAGGCAAAAACAGAGGAGGAATCAGAAGTTCACTTACAACGCCGAGAGCTACGCCCTCAACTTCGACTGCGGGTTGGACGAGGAAGAGTACGACTACGTCCCTGGGTTTTCGCAGAGGTTCGCCGCCGTTCCGGTGGATAACAGGAATCGTGAAGCTTTTGGGTTGTGACAGGGAATTGGGAGGAGATTTTTTTTTCATACCTTTAGTGGGTTGTTAATTAATTGATTCAATTTTTTAGATTCTGGTTCTCTGCTAAATTCATTGTTCAGTATCAAGCAATAAACTTTTCACCTAGAACTCCAACAAAAGATCTCCCTCCTCATCTTTGTGAAATCGTACCATACCAATGGTCTAATTAGAAAATAATTTTTAACGGTACAAAACGATTGAACATTAGTTTCAGTACAAAATATCGGACGGTCAACATTTTTTATACAATTTTCTATTCGATTTTACAATTCTTGCTCTCGACGAAAAAGGTTTACGTTTACCCGACGAACCAAATACCAATCCATCAGGAAGATGATTGGCATTTGGCTTATGTGTCTATTGTTTGAATTCGGAGGCCACAAGGTCTAGTTTCTACCGTCAGTTGTGGCGCTAATGGAGTGATCAGTTTGAATGAAATGAAAAGGAAAAAAAACAGAGCAAACGATGACGAGAGGATGAGGTGCTTGCTTAGGTCAGTGGCCGGCGATGGACGACAAAAAACAATGAGTCAGCACTCAGCAATGAGGTCTCTGGAGGAACCAGCTGGTCCCATAAGCAAAGCAAGAACAACGTTATTATTAGTTTTATCCACTTCTTTTTATCTCTAAGCGAACATTACCCTGTTTTGATTATCATTAAAGAAAAAAGTTGGCGATAATGACGATTAACACGATGGATATATGTCATTTTGTTGCGTGGACCCGTTCTAAGATAGTGGTAATTATCTCACCCTAATCATTTACGCCAAGGTAATGATTTCAGCTCGACTTTCCTTTATCCTAAGTCGTTGGTGTTACTTGATAATAGATTATCCGATATTGACGGGAAATCACGTGGTCTTGCTAGAGAAGGATTACACCGTCTGTAACATTTTTCATTTCAGGTTGGACTAGGGTTAGGTTGTCTGGAGAAGGTGTCATATCTACATTCTCAATCTATGTAATATATGTATCTCCTCAAATATAGTGAAACTGCTATCTCATGCTCGTGGATTAGCTAACGCACATCGTGTTAGTGAACCACATAACTCTACATGTTCTCTACATTATTGCATTGTCGATTTTTTCCTTTACGTTCTAACATAAACAATACATTTTGAGATGATTTCAACCTTATGAACACCCGTTAAACTCGTAAAAGAGAATAATTTGGGCATATAGAGTTAATCGTCTAAACGATCATCACCAAAGAATTTTCCTTTGGGACCTCTTAATGTTCTTACTTTGATCTAACAATAGCAACCTTACCGTCGTGTTCAATTCACACGACCTATCATTCCGAGAAAAATTCTCCATATAGCCACCAACAGAACTGTAAGTACGAATCATAATTCAGTTACTGATTCATGAACCACCGACGTTTGTTTAACTACCAAATACATGTACCTCATTACAAGACACTAAAGGAGAAGAAAACAATGTGGTTCCACTAAATGGGTTGGTATAAAAATGGAGGTGAAAGGGAGCAAAAGGCAAAATCTTTTCCTATTAGCATTTAGCAATGGCCCCTGTTTTAGACCAGACAGTGAGTAATGAGGAAAAGGGTTCGTGTTTCTTCTTTCTTCTCCTGCTATTTACCCTTCTTTTAATCCTCTGTCGGGAAGGAAAGGATTGTTAATGTCAAAACAAAAACACAGCAAAATTGAAACACCGTACGACTTGTTTTTTTTTAAAAAAAAAACAGGAGCCACAGGATTATGCTGTTATCCACGAAGCTCTTTTGTCCTAACAAGAAAAATGTTCCTTCAGCCTTCAAAGATGGTGTTCATTGTGAACTTAATTAGCATATGCTGTTGCTCTTTCCAGAGGTTATGACAGAATCTTGGAGGGTATTACTAGGGAATAGGATTTGGGAAGAGATGGATTTTGGAAACTCTTTTGTAAGAAAACAGTCATATAAGACATGGTATTCAATACGCATAGTATACGATTCGTCAACTGTGCTTACAATTAGAGATTACTTCCTAGGCAGTGGCGGACCCAGGATTTTATATATGGGGTGTCCTCTTTCAAAAAACAAAGTAAAATAAAAATGAGTAATTTTTAATTTATAAAAATTAAATAATTTTTAAATAAGAAAAATACTCAACTCGTACAAGATTAAAAAAGTCCATGATGTATTTTCATATTCTGAAAAGAATGTAAAATACACTTGGTGTCTACACTGCTCAACAAATGTGTCTCGGTATATCCTATTAGACAATCATTCACGAATTGACGCACAATCAACTTCTAAATTTGTTCTTGATGTAACTATAAGCTGAATAAACACTTTCAACACTTGTCTTACAACCATGATTAAAGATAGAGAACAGAGTTTTGCTATTACACAATGTTTAGAATAGAACAACAAATAAGTTGTAGCCTAATGGAAATTATATTTACTGATAATAGTATTGTCCCCGTTTTGAATCACCCAAACTAGCACTTATATTCCTATACACAAACTATAAATGAGAGTAGGATAATCGTGTTTTCAAATTTCACGGTTTCCCGAACTATTATTTATATTTTTTTTTTATCCATTTGTAAATTGCCACCAAAGATTGGATAATCGTTTTTTCAAAATTTAGGAATTTCTCTGTGCTCAACTTCAAACATCTTTTGTTTGCTCTCACTTTAATTCATTATCAACCTTATCAAAAAAAATATTAGGGGTGTCTCCCCTGAGTCCGCCGGTGGCTAGGGGTAGTTTTTCTTTGTTGCAAATTTATGACCAGAATTTGGAATATTCTACGCACCTAATTATACTATCTGGGTATTTTTGCAAACATAGATGCATCATTTTAACTAATGCAAAATGAAACTACACTTGTTATCCAATTCAATTCCAATCCGTATTATGTGAAAGTGAAATCACTCTATTCCCTTTCTAACTTTACTCGATAGCTAAGCTAAGTAGAGAGGGTCTCCATGAACTTGTTCAAAAATTAATTTGGATGAGTAAGACAGATTAATCATGAAGATTTTAAGAAATAACCACTACGATAGTTATCATAAACTAGTAAACTTCATTACCAAATCTATCAAGAATCAAGTAGAAGTGATCAATTATTAGTACCCTATGTAAACTTTTCTTTTGATCTATCAACCACTCGTGAATTGACAAGAGAGAAGCTAAGTCAAGCCTCTAGCAAGCTCCTAGGGCATAAGACTATATATATATACTTTTAATCACTATTTCCCACTTTATCAACTTGTATTTCCTCTAATCCACATTCATACAGAGTCAATCATATGCAACAGCAACCAAGAACTATCAATATTTTTGCCAAAAGGAAAATATTACATAAACCTGTGGATCTCACTACAAAGAAAGACAGACATGCTATTTTAACCTCCTTCCCTCTCACAGATCTCATTACCTTACAAGTATAAACAGACAGCATCATAAATCTCTGCAGGCACTCTCTCTTCAGCTGTTTTCATCTGTCAACTAGAAGTTCCAACCATATTGTGAGGTTCTGAAGCCAACCTAAAGAGAGGTTCACTACTAAGTACTAACACAACAATAAGACCAGCCTCTCCATACTTCAAATAGAGCTTTCTTCTATCAGCAAAAAAGGGGGGAAAAGAAGAAAATGTACTATAAGGCTGTGTTCCTAACCCACACAGCCATGCAACTCTTTCCTGTGATCATCATTCTGCCGTGGAACGAACCCCTTTCCAATATATGCACAAGAAGCTCTCTTTCTCTTTCGTTGTCTACTTGGTTTACGAACCGACCAAGTGTAACTAGAAGAGGGTGGGGAAAAGGTTTGAGCTTTTACTTCTTTCTTTTGCTCTTGACAGTAGACCCAGATGGGTTGCTGTGCCAGTTCCTCTTCCTTTGGTTGATGAACCAGTTGTTTATCTGCTTCAACTGCAGCCCCGTTTCTTGAACCAGCCTCGCTTTGTCTTCCTCCTGTGAACAAGCATACATGCGTTAGAATCCACATTTTGCGAACGATAGCTTGCATAGGAAGCCACATTATGATCCATTCACGACTTAGCAATTGACGAAGAACATAGAATGCGATCGATTCGCGGCTCAAAAAAAGGAGATTGAATGAAGGGCACACTTACAGTTGGATATGGCCACTTGGAATGCGACTGCCACCAAGATTTCAACACTGATGTGGTGTCTCCAGGCAGTTTCCCTGCCCTTCTCTTACGAAGAATCTCCTCTCTTATGTCCACTAGCTTCTCCTTGTAACCCTGGGAAAAGTAAAATAGGGAGATGTCAAACTTCTACTAGGCATAAGGGAAGTTCTGAATCGTGTCAGGTACCAAAACCATTGATTAATTTACCTGTTTGAGCTCATGCTTCAGTTCCAGCCTCACTCGCTCCATCAACGACCTCTCGGTTTCAGTAGGGACGAGTGGACCGAATCCCATGGTGTCCATCGCATCCAAGCTTCCTTCGTACATGTTGGCTTCGCTGTCTACTTGATCATCGTCATCGTCTGACATCGTAGCGCCTGTGCCTTCTCCTGGAGATACACCTGTTGTCCATCCATTGTTTGTTTAGTTTCAAAGATATGTTATATGTGCGAAAGTTACAATCTTGTTGAGGGAGGGAAAGTTACTATCTTGCAAGAAAAGGATTATTATTGGAGTGTGGCAATATTGTTATTTTTACCTGTGAGGCTCTGGAGGGCTTGCTCGAGCTCCCAGCAAGCCATGACAGCCTCCATGGCGTGGACTCGGACATGTTGTTGGAGTTGGTCTTTGAATGAACAAAGCAACAGAACATAATGCGTCTGAACGAAGAAGGAGAGGGAGAAAATGAACAAAGAAAGAGTTAGAAAGGACAGAATTGATGACTATCATAAAGGCATGGAAGTCGTTATAAGAAAATTCATTAGTACAAAGGCAATTAAAGTTTCTGAAGAAGAATTATATTCCTATTCAGGCTGCTATAAATCAACCCATATAACACCTGTGTGTAAAGCATGCAAAGGTGACTGCTCCAGAACCAGACATGAGAGGTCCTAATCTTAATCATTCCATAACTGAAAATGTTTATCCTACACAACTGGGCTAAACCCCTGGCTTACATCTTCTATATGTGATTAGTTCTGCTAGTTCAAATTGATCTACCCCAAGTTTATCTCTTACCATATCTCACACTCTTCACATATCACAAAGTTGAAGAAGCAATCAAAAAGTTATCCGAGAACTGATTAAGAACATGTTGAATCATAAGACTTTGGTAAATCCTATTTCAGCTAATCCTGAGAAGGTTACATTGTCAAACACACACACAAGACAAATACTCGGTCTTTCAGCAGAAAGATTACAGCTTTTTCGTTCTTCCTTGAAGCCAAAGGGTCCTCATTCTAAAGGGTACTGCCCCAAGTTTTGGTTAGCACATTTTAGAGAGGAAATAGGGCTGGAAAAAACTGCAGCAGCAAGAAGCTTCCTGCTTATAAGCTAATCCATCGGTTACTAATGACGTATGCCCTTAGGGAAAGGGGGAAAAAGCCACCTTGAGCTTCTCCTCCAGAAAACATGGAGGAAAGGCCCTATCAATACACTTGAATTCAGTTATCAGTTTCGGTTTCAGTTACCCCAAAATCAACGAGATTAATCACCTGATTAGCAAGCAATCCTCTAACCAAGTATCTCAAATCTTCCCCAAAACCATAAACTAAGCAGAAATCCTATTTCCCATAACCTTTAATCAAACGATTAACTACCAAAATTGAGCTGAATAGACGTTAATCCCTAGGGCTCTGAAGCTCAAGGAATTATCGACAAAGACTACGACTTTCAAAATCAGGCGAAGAAACCCATTTAGAAGACAAACGCCGGCGAAATTCAATACCATGAACTGATCAAGCTCCTTCTCGTCGACGACGGGGCCGTTACCGACGACGGAGTACTTCGCCACCACTTCCTGCGACTGAGCCAGCTGAGCGTCGATCCTGGGCAGCTGGTCGACCGGCGTGGCGATTCTCAGGCATGCCACGTGTGCAGCCAGCAGCTGCTCGTACAGCGGGTGGGAGAGTATCTCCGCCTTGCATTTCGCCCTCTCCCAATCCCCCACTCCCCCGCCGCCGTCCAGAAGCTCACCTTCCCCACCTCCGCCGCCGTGGTGGTGGTGGTTGTTGTTGTTGTTGCTGTCGTTCTCGCTCCTGTCGCTGCCGTCGCCGCGGCGGAGGACGGCGCTGTTCAGCCACGAAGGCCCGGCGGAGGCCGCGGAGAGCGGCGGCGGCGGCTGGAAGCCCATTTCTTGCGACATGTGGTCTTGGAAAGCCATTTTTATCTCGTTTCGCACAACAATTTCAGAGCAGCAGTAGCAACATTAATTTGTTGGGTCTCCGCAGAGAAAGAGAGAAAGATGGAAGCTTTTTTGAAGAGGTGAAGAGGAAGAAGTAGGAGGTGGAATCTATGGCGGGAGAGGAGAAGTGGGTAAGGCCGCGTTTGGCGGAATTTTCTGTGTGGGGTGAGGGAGCGGAGTTTTTCAGAGGAAGCTCCTCTGCTTTTGGATTGTCTTGCAGAGAAGGAGAAGGGAGGAAGGAAGGGGAAGAAGGCCAATTTCGTATTTATGTAATGAAAAATTGGGGATTTCTTTATTTTCGAATTATTATTATTTTGGTGGTGGTTCATTTTGGGTGGACTTTTGGTGGGAGATCGGACGGCTGGATGGAAAGACACGTGGAGGTTTGGTGATGTTTTATTTGTAAAATAATGGGTGCCAAGAGAAAATTCCAATGATTTGAGAGGGGAAAAAAAAATAGGAAAAGAAAAGGGAAAAGAGATATTTTTGTCCACGGCCTAAACAACAGTGAACTACCTCCGGTCGCGCAATTTTTTGTGGGGGGTTTTGATTAAACAATTAATTTAATTAATGACATCAAACAACAATGTTATCCAATGATTTGGTGACTCTTGTTTTCTTAATCCTCTTTTTATACGTTTGTCGGATTCTGGCCTTGTTGCCACTTTGAAGCTCGGTTCTCGAGGTTGGATTAAGGAGTTTCGAAGTTTTAGATAAAAGGAAAAATCTATTGGTCTCGATAATTCAGTTGATAAATCGTACATTTGCACGTTCCGAAGATGGTATGTGTAGAGTTCATATGTAAGTTCTTTTCGATAAGAGATGCTGTTGGGGTAACTTTTATTTTAAGTTAATTGAATGAATTTGGATATTTGGCCACCTTCTGTTCTTTGAAAACGGTCGGCCTAGATATCGACATGATCGACCTTCCCACTCATATATAAGGTCATGAACCTACTAATGATCCAGCCGATTTTTATTGGCATATAAAAATGCAACAACGAATTTCTATCGATATGTACATCCTCATTTTAGTTGACGGAGCTCAATGCCAACGAACCACACAAAGGACGTTGCATGTTATTACTTATTATTCGATTGACTGGGTTTGTGAAAGCGGTCAACTAAAATAGTCCATCAACCTTGAAGTATATTTTACATAGAGTTTTAACCCAAGTCGCCCCAGGCATCACTGGTTCTTATTTTGTTTCAAGAACTGGGTAGTTCTAATAACTATATTAGCTGATAGAGGTCCAAAATAAAGTATCATACTAGATTCATTTACAACTACTATTAGGGTAGTATCTACAAATAGTTTTAGGGCTAAATTGAAACTCAAAGGTACATACATAGAAGATAAAGCAACATATAGTGTAATTTTCGTACTATTCAAGAATATTCATACCCGTCCTTGAATATATTTGTCCATTAATCAACACATCTTTCTTACGTACTCTTGATCCGCCGGTGAACAACTTTTGCAATATTAACGATATCATCAATACATTTCACAGGACTTTCTTCTAAACGATATCCATAAGCACTCGCATACGAATCGGACTAGATAGTAGCTACATGCATCAAGCATCCACAAGTGGATTCTGTAACATAATGATTACTCTTTAGTTTAATTATGCATGATTATCATGCCTAATGTGCATAGTTTACTTATCTTTTATGTTTTCATTGTTTAGTATTAAGAAAAATGCTTTACTCTCTCACCTACATATAACACAAGATATCTCTAGAACAATGCATGATTAAGCTCTAATCCCATCCATATTTTAAAAAAAAAAAACCCTATAATTTATATCTTAAACAATAATAATAATGTCGTGTAGCATAGTTTATTAGATTGAGTGTTGAATATTATAAACTTCCCGGCCGGCTGCTCTGTTTCCACCTCCCAACCCCTTCATAAATTATTGTTTTTATTTTTATTATTTTTTTGTAAATAATATCGGAACAAGCATGGTGGAAAAAGTCGTTTGATTTGAGGTTGAACGATGGACTTCCCTGCCAAGTATTTTACATTATTTGGCCTAGAGATCAATTTATTTATTTATTTGTCAATACGTGTGCACTGCTTATAATAATTAATTAATAAATAAATAGTAATACCAATGGAAGGAAAAAAAAAGAGAGAAGAAAAGATGGGCAGAAAGTGGTTGTGTTGTGGAGTAGTAGTATCACGTTGGGTTAATCCTGGCCGTCGTCTCGCTATCAGACAAAAAGAAACAAAGCAAAAAGGGAACAACCAGCAAAGAGAGTGGAATTCAGAAGCCACATATTTTGTCTCAACTCGAGATGTGAAATATTTTTTCATAAACCAACATATTTCTAGTTGAAAGGTGTATATGAAGTTTGTATAGGTTATTTATATTTCACGAACGAATTAACCTCTAACATCATGTCATATATCAACAAGTTTCATTAATTCGAGTTGTTGGAAGAGGTCTATGTATGAGTAGGTAGGTATACGGAACGGGCCACGATCCGGACCAAACTCATGAGAATCACAGTCCAATAGCGAAAGACATCTTACGACGAAAGAAAGGGACCAACAATGCATTCGGTCCAGTCCAACTGTCACTTAGGTCCACTTTTTCTCCGGTATTTTATAAGATTTATGGGGCCAGGGATCCGAACCGGACAATATTATATTCGGTTAAGGTATGCTCTTATCCAAGGGCAGTTTGGTCCAATACAATCCGACACTGGCCAAACCGTTGCGCACACGCCCATATGTATAAATTTGAACCACTTCCTAATTAAAAAAAGTTGGAAAATTGTACGATTTTGATGCTGGTATGTATATAGTAGAGAGATCGTATCGTAAGTATGATGTTCGTCAAACATAAAACCATTTCCATATTGAAAGCTTCGAGCGCGAGAAGCTTGCTTCACTTTCTTCGTCGAAATCGATTCCTGAAAGAACCCTAAATCGTCTTTTGGGAAGAACAAGTGAGTGCGAAGAGTGAAAGAGGTTTTGATCGAAAATGGCTTGGGAAACCGACTGAATAAGTGTTGGTACTGAACTGGGTCTTTGATTAAAACAATTGGGCCCAAACTTTATCAAGCCCGTTTACCCCAGTGGTTATTAAAACGCTGCACTTTTACTTAACCGTATCACCTGTATTGTCTTCCTTTGCTAAGAGAGGAGTCTCTGTGGGAGTTTCTCGTTCAAGACCTGCAAAACAGAGTAGGTGCAACCAAACAGAGTATATCTACCAGAAAGAAGGATTACGAAGCAGAAATTAAAAGATGCACGCCCAGTTTTTACGTGGTATCCAGTATTGGGAAAAAGAACCCCAATACTGACTAATCCACGGTTGGAATATCACGATCTTGTGATTTCCAACGATCCACTAATTCTCTTGATATGTTTCGTTGATCGCACTATGCTATCCTGCTTAACCTGTCCTGTCCAGGAAGGTTAATCTACACTCTACAAATGGAACTTGTGACCTGAGCTCTCCAGCTCCTGCGTTGTCCAACGCTTCTACTCTCTAACACTGTTTCTCTCCAGATTCAATGCTAAAGCTCTCTTTTCGCTATCAATTTACACTGCTATTTCCTTAGCCTCTCCTGTGTATCTTGATCTCCTCGAAAAGTGCCTCCTCATTGATCTTGATCAAGCTATATATCATGCCACCCTCTAGCCGTTGGGTTCTAAGAAGGTAGGTCTTCCCTTTTGAATTCCTTCCTTATGTGTCACGTCCTCTGATTTGCTCAATCCTTCTTTCCTTGCATATATGATTCTTTCCAAGTGCTATCACGATTTTATTCCCCTGTGAATTGAGGTAAGTGACTGGATTTCTTGACAACAATCTCCCCCTAAGCCAGTCAATGATCCTCTTAGCTGCTTGCGAGTTCCTGCACACACTTTAACAAACTGTCACGTGTAGCCTGTTCTATGCTTGACTTACACCACTTCAAATAGGAGAATAAAACATCCATCATTTTATTAGATAGTTTGACATCAGACGCTAAGAATCATCCAAACATATTTTAAACTGAAAAGACACAGGCTCAGACAGAGCATTATTCAATAACAATACTGTAAAACCAAGACACTAGACTCGACCCACCTGATCCTTACATGGATCATCTTATTGACTCCCCCTATGCTAGACCACAACTCCCCCTAAGCTAGACATCCCATCCTTCTTAAAAAGAAAACCTAGGTGATGGCACATAATCTGATATTGCTTCCTCTTCATCTTCCATCATCAGGTGTCTGTTGCTGCTGCTAGCTTCATCCTGCCTGAACATGGCTCGAACCACTTCTAAGGGATCTATCATAGGACGCTTCCCATTGTCCCTGACAGGGCTAACCATATCTGCCCTTTCTGGTCCTTCCTCCGCTTCATCCCTTTCCAATTCAGTCAGATGGAGTCCATCCTGATCAGAGGGAACTCCAGCAGCTGCTTCTCCCCCTGGAGCATTGACCACCGGAGCACGACGCCCTACAGAGGCATCCATTTTTCGCAGAACGAACTGAGCACGTAGAGATCCTAACATGTCTACGCGAGCCACCTTAAAGCGAAGATCAAGCCCTAAAGCCAGCAGGATCTGAGTGATTTGCGGAGCAAAAGGAAGCTCGGCATGAAAGTTATCAGCATGATAGTTCAGCATGTGGTCAAACATCAGGTGGGGATAACTAATCACCCTATTTTCCTTCGCACTGGCAAGAATCCATAGATCAGATGGATAGATAGTATTGAGACCGAAAGATCTAGGTAGAAAACACCTTGTGATGTAAAAATGCAGGACTTTGAGATCATCAGGAAGTCTACCAGTGTGAAATTCAGAAGGATAATACCGACCGGTATCACGAGTATATAACCTCAGGGCATCTCCCTCATTGAACTCAACAGAATGAAAGTCCAATTCATTCATGACTTCTGCTCCAGCAATAGGAATTCCAAGTAATAACGATAACAGTTCCACATTGATAGTGATCAGGTAATTGTATACTATCGTTGTGAAGCATGGAGGAGTGATATGAAGACAAGGCTTCATGTTGGAGTAGAACATTCGAACAGCCTCAGGACGGAAACCAAAGTTACGATTTGGTAGGATATCACCCCATCCGATAGTATTGATCAAGCGAGGGACATCCATTCCATATCTGTTGAACCGAGAAGGATCAAGAGTGATGGAAGGATGGAGTGGACGATCCTGGAACTGCTGGAGATAGCGAGTATAACCTGCTGCATCCTCAAACCCTTTGCCATTGAAAATGGCAGCTTGAGCCA